AAACATTCTTAATTTATTTTCTTCTTCAAAGTGTCCCTCAATCTTCAAAGTAGTGCTCACAGTAAGAAACCTTTGAAAATGCTTATTTACATCTTCATTTATCTTCCCGGTGAAAGATCTGCTCTCGAGCTGTCGGATTATTGTGGGGTGGAGCTGAAAATTTGCAATAGTTACCGATTGATTCACAATAGTCAACTGACATGTTAGAGTATTTGATCCTCCATAGTCCCCAAGTAGTCTCTCAGGTGGTGGTGGCTTTTCACCCATAGGTTCTTCTCCCTTTTCAGACTCTGAACCTGAATGATCTGAGACAACTTCTTCTTCTGATTCCAGTTTAGCTAATCGAGCTTGACTGCGTCTTGCGTGAAAAGTTCTTTCGATTTCTGCGTCAAAAGGAAATTCAGCCGAGGGCTTTCCTCACATACAAAGGTTATAAATAAATTAGTAATAACGAAAATATAAAAATAGTAGAAAGTAAAATTTTAGTCGCAGAGCAACAAAATTTTAATTGAACTCAAATTAAACTCTATAATTTGGAAGTCCTCGACAACAGTGCCAAAAACTTGATCGGAAAAATAGCAAGTGTACTATTTTGCCTCTTGTAATAATAGGGAAATTCTACGAATGTCGATCTCAAGGACCGCGTACAAGTATCGAGTTCAATTCGTGGTTCAATTAAACAAAAAATTAGATTTGGGTTTTGTTTGGAAATCGTCACTTAAAATTAAGTTGAAATATAAATTGTTTTTTTCTCAGATATGAGGAGCATACTAGGGTAAGGTGTATAGTTTTTCTTGTAACAATCTTGAATCCTGATTTCTTCAACAAGTTTATAACATTCAATTACCAACTCTTTAGGTATTTTCCCCTAAGTCCTTAGTGTGAAAACCTTTGAATATTCATCCTAAATCCTAAGTCCTTAGATAATCATGATGAAATCAAGCCTTTGTTTTATCAAGAGTTAACATGTAACTATAAGGTATCCTTAGTCCTAGGTGATATCTACTACAACCTAATTGGATAAAAACCTTAACAACCACGATCCAGCAGATTGTTAACCGTAAACTAATCCTTGTTGGTCCAACAAAGACATAATAAAAACATTGTACAATCAAATTGAACATGAAAAACAATTGTATTATGAAATTAGGAATTCATAGTCGTTACAAAATCAAATCAGGGACACCCCATAGCATAGAGAGGTTTAACTACTCATACTATTCAAAAGAATTTCAATAACATTAAAGGTAAACATTATAGATAACAGAGGAACTTTGATCTTCAATTTTGTCGGCTCATGAAAAATCTATGTTCTTCAATAATCTCATATGTTGCTCTTTTCAATCGTCAAATTTCTCTGCTGACAAAAAAAGTTCCCTAATTCCTTGTGAAAACTCATCTAAATAGTCACCATTCATTCATATCGGCTGGAAGTACCCAAAATGCCCCCACAACTTAACATATGGATAAAATAGGAAAAAGTCAACAAATTAGCGTCACCGGCCAACACGACCAGTGTCAGGCAACACGACCACCTGTGTTGGCCCTCAAACTTCCAATTTTCCTTTTAAGTTCCAGGAGGGGCAACACGGCCCGTGTAAGGTGACACGGTCACCCGTGTTGCACCCATGACTTTCCATTCTTCTTCAACGCATCCTAGACCTTCCTCCTGACATGGCCCGTGTCAGGCCTCCTGAAGCATGACTTTTGCATTTCCTCCGAAACTCTGAGTTTTGAACTTTTTCGCACTGATTTGTCTTGATTTATTCCTTTGAGTCTAAAAACAGAAAAACACACAACCAATACATAAAATATCGTAAAATGAAATAAAATGCTCGACAATAAAAATAAAATATAACTCAAATTGACAGTAAATAACGGTGTAAAAACAACTGATCACCGGGTAGTCAAGTTCCTCGGTTTCTACCTAACAGAACGAGAAATCGAAGCCAACCCCGACAAATGTCAAGCATTTTCTGAGTTTCCAACGCCAAACTCGAAGAAATCAATCCAAATCATGAACGAAATACTCACTTAGTTATCCCGCTTCATGGTAAAATCTTCCCAACACGCACTTCCCCTTTTCAAACTTCTTTGCAAAGAGACGGCCTTCGAGTGGACCAAGGAGTGTGAACACAACCTCATCCACCTCAAACATACACTATCACAACCACCAGTCCTTTCACGACCAGATAAAGAAGAAACTCTCTATCTTTATCTGGTCGTGGCATTCGAGGTCGTAAGCGCAACCCTCATTCGAGAAACCCCCGAAGGGAAAGAACCCATTTACTTCACGAGTAAGGCCTTACAGGGGCCCGAAGTAAGATACCAGCAGATTGAGAAAGTATCCCTAGCGCTCATTAACACAGAAAGGAGGCTGAGGCACTACTTTCTAGCACACACGACTATAGTCCGAACATAACAACCAATAAAATAATTACTCGGTCAACCCGACATGGCGGGCATAACGCTCAAATGGTCGTTAGAGCTCTTTGAGTTTGACATCAAATATGAGAGTAGGAAAGCCCTAAAAGCCTAAGTGTTGGCTGATTTCGAGGTAGAGATGACCTCGTTAGCCTCCCCCACAAGCGGAGCATGCAAATGAACCATCTTTGTCGATGGGGCTTCCAACTCAACGAGAAGCAGGGCATGCATTATACTAGAAAATAAGGAAGGAATCTTGATCGAAGTCTCCCTCACATTATCTTTCTCGACCTCAAACAACCAAACCGAGTATAAAGCATTTCTAGAAGAACTACGCCTGGCCGAGGATCTAGGGCCCGAAGAAGTAAAAATTTTCATAGATTCCCAACTTGTTGCCTCCCATGTACGGGGAGAATATCAGGTAAAAAACAACCACCTCTCTGAATACTGGACTCTGATCCGAGAAAGAATGAAGAAATTCGAGTTAGTAGATGTACAACATGTTCCCTGCAAACATAACACCCAGGCAGATATCCTATCAAAACTGGTGAGCACAAAAAAGAAAGGAGGGAACAAATCATTAATACAAGAAATACTTCCTCGACCGAGCATTGACCCTTCTCGATTCTAGACGTGTTCGCCATCGGTGATACCAATTGCTGGATGACCCCGATATACGACTACCTCACGAAAGGAGAACTACCAACCAATCAGAAGGAGGCTAGCATGGTCAGGCGAAGAGCCTGCTCCTATGTTCTAATCGAAGGCAGATTGTACAGAAGGGGATTTTCCATCCCTTCCTTAAATGTGTCGAAGAAAACAAAGTATCTCACATCCTGCATTAAATCCACGAAGGAATCAACGGCCAACACCTGGGAAGAAAATCCCTTGCCAGAAAAGCATTATAGGCAGGATACTACTGGCCTACCATGGAACACGACACCAAAGAGAAGTGGAGAAGTGTGACAAATGCCAACGCCACAGGGACATGCACTTGGCGCCTCCAAACGAGCTCAAGTTTCTCTCGTCCCCCTGGCCCTTTGCATGGTGGGGCCTGGATATCCTCAGGCTATTTGTAGTGGGATCAAACTAAAACAAATACTTGATAGTATCCATGGATTACTTCACTAAATGGATAGAAGCAAAAGTGTTTGCCAAAATCATTGTACAAATCATTATTTGTTTCTACAAAAGAAACATTCTTTCTCAGTTCGGTATTCCCCAAGAAATTGTCATCGACAACAGGACATAATTCACGAACATAAATTTCCAGGAGTTCGTTACCAAATTAGGCATCATCCAACACTTTGTGTCCGTCGAGAAATCACAAACAAACAGGCAAGCCGAGTCTACAAACAGTGTGATCCTATGAAGCCTCAGGCGAAGGTTATACCAAACCAAAAAGAGATGGGTCGAGGAGCTATATAGTGTATTATGGGCCTATCGAACAACAACTCACTCATCCACCGAGGAAACTCCCTTTCGACTAGCATACAGAACCAAAGTTATCATCCCCGTCGAAATCAGAGAGCCCTCCAGACGGACAGAAACCCCTCTCGATGGAGAAATGAACGACGAAGCATTAAGAGAGGAGCTCGACCTCATCGATGAAATTAGGGTAGTAGCGACTTTACGAGAAGCCTCCATCAAATAAAAAGTCATCATACGATATATCGCCAAAGTCATATGGCATGAATTCGAAGTCGGAAGCTTAGTCCTGAAGAGAAATTACAAAGAGTCTCGCGAAGGCAAACTCCTCACAAACTGGGAAGGCCCCTATCGCATCCATGCAAAAACTGGGAATGGGGCATACTACTTAGAAAACTTACACGGGGAACAACTTGCTCAACCTTGGAATGCCGAAAAACTGAAGCAATATTATAGTTAATGCACAAATACAGTCGACGTGCTTTGTCAAAATGATGAAAACAGTTTTCCCGGCCATATGTGCTTGCCCAAATACAAGCATGACACCTCAAATTAAACAAAGAGGCAAGTTTCCACTCTTTTAACGAGCAGATTCTTAGCCCAGCGGGGAAAACTCAAACGAGCTCCACCATCGTCGTGCCATGATGGCAGAACACCCAGCTCACGATGGAAAGTTCATGCTGCCGAGCTCAGGCCCCAAATGAGACCTGAGTTCCAGCCCATGCCCGAAAATTATCCTGGCCATTCGTTCAGTCTCCCCACACTGGCGAACCTCAATACCGACGAGAAAACCCCCTAAAACTCTTAAACAAAATAAGCGTCTTAAGCAGACGAGCATACATGCATGTGAAACTTAACAAAACAATAATCCATGCACAAACAAAAGCAAATACTTAAGTGGTGCATATTAAAGTGGACGACAACTAAGGTCGAAAATACTAGAAAACGACCACAAAGGCCGCAATTGTCAAAGTGGTTACATAAAGGGAGCCAAAGGCCCCCATCCAAAGAAACGAACGAATGGCTACAAGGACCACGATTGTTTAAAAGTTACATTACGACGGGCAAAAGCCCCCAAAACAAAACAAAAAAAATGGCACGCTGGCTGAATAGAACAAAGAAATAACAAGCTTCAATCAACTACCGGGCTAAGGCTGCTCTTCGGGCTGAGGGTGCACTTCAGTATCAGGCTGCGACTGCTCGGGTCCCCCTGGAGACTGAAAAGAATCTGCCACATACCCGCCTGCCACCTCAAGAAAGCCGGGGACGACGATGCCAATATCAACCACGGTGTGGAGGAAACCAGTCCGCGTCATGACAATGTCGACTCCCAGATTCACAAGGTGAATCTGAGCCACAGTGTTCTTAAAACTGTCCTCGTAAATCACGAGAACATCGTCATCGGTTTGCTAAATACGAGTAACCAGTTAGGCCTTGGTCGTCACCCCCTTAACATCGTCAGGCCCTTCCTTGCTAGGGACCATGGTAGACTTTAGCCTGACTACCTCTTCCTCGAGGGTTTTCTTCTCGACCGAGCGGGCATCCATCTCCTCGGTTAGGACCTTTTTCAGCCTTGCAAGTTCCTCATTCTCAGCCTTCAACTTTTTGAACTCCGCCTCAAGAGCCTTGTATGCATCTCGGGTTTTCCTCAGCTCTAGCTCCTCAGTGCCCCCCTCCTCGGTATGAATCACCGCTGCTCCTAGAATCCTCATCAACCCAGCAACATCCTGGGCCAACAAAGTCCTCTTGATCGGGCAATCCATCTCCCCGTATGACAAGGACTCTGCCTTGTGAACCCTCGGTGAAGCGCCCGAGAAGAAAGTCTTGTCGTGGAAGCAGAAGGGAAACATATACTTTTCTTTTCCTTTCTCCCCCGTCAGATCCACCAGATCTTCGGAACAAGGCTGCTTGGTCCTCGAACTCACCGATAGAGGAGAAGATTTCCCGACAACCGAACTAGACGAAGAGGTCCCCGACCCTGTTGGAGGAACACCTATTGCGTCACCATCCAAGATGCTCTTGGAGATCGCTTTTTGCTCTTTCTTAGTCTTAAGAGCAACATTCTTAATCAAACGCTCCTTTATTATGATGAATAGACATAATCAACCATTAGTCCGTAATTATTCAAAAAACAATAAAATTAGTGAATTTCAATACATTCTACAAACAACCTTTGCCTCTTTCTTAAAGCTAATAAGGTTTTGAAAGACATAACCTTATTATCCTTTTGGGTCAGTTGGTGAATCACCTCTTTACACTATTCAAAGATTATGAATAAGTTTGTTTTAGCTTTAAATTCATTTATTTTTTTGTATTTTAAAAACTGAATTTTATAAAATCGTTTTTTTAAATATTATAAATTTTTTTATATTCGTTTTTTAAATTAAAAGAATAATTTTGACATCTTGTAACATAAATATATATTATTAAATTATAACTTTTTAAAAAATTATATTTTAAAAATAATTTTTATAAAAAACTATTTAAAATAGTTTTAAAATTAAACAATTTTTTAAAATTTTGATATTAAAATTTTTATTTAATAAAATGATGAAATATCTAAAATAGTATTTTAAGAATAAATATTTAAACCAAAATTTCATTTGAACTTTTATAAATAAAAAATTGTAAATTTTTTTACACAAAATTATATTATACTATAAAGATCATTTAAAAAAAAACTAAAACAAATCGGGTGTTATATAATACTACTATATAAATTATATTTGCATTTGATAGTGTAGTTTGATATTGCCCCTGACCTTTCCAATGCTATAATAGAAACTCACAATATCTAAAACCAGTTAACTCTTCCTCCTTCTCTTCTCTTGAAGAGAAAAAATAAGTTTACAAGTAATAAGAGATTAAATCATGAAAATTGCATTAATTCTCACATTCTCCATCATGTTTGTCGTTTCTCATACAACACCAACATTTAATACTCAACCTCAAATGAATCAATCTTCCATCCAGCTACAAGTAAAGTTTACGTGTATACATGAATGTTTTAATTTTTTATTTCATACATGCATGAATGTTTTATATATCCATATGAATATGTTAACAGAATGAAACTAGAAAGAGTGGTGGTAGCTGCAATTACAAAGTTAATATAAAGACAAGCTGCAATTCTCCACCACATACAACAGATGAAATCAGTATCTTATTTGGAGACAATAATGCTTCCGAGGTTCCTTTCTCTTGCTGTTTTGTCGACTCAATAATATTAATCGGTTGTATCTAAACATGTTTTTAATTGTAGGTTTATGTTCCAAGACTGGATGATCCTGATTCCGGGACAACATTCGAGCAATGCACCACGATTGAATTTGAGATATTGGGACCATGTATTGGAAAAATATGCAAAATGTATCTATTTAGAAATGGAACAGATGGTTGGATACCAGAGACTGTCACTGCATATCATTATGATTACCCTCCTGTCATATTTAACTACAACGTTGATATTCCTAAAGATGCTGGCTATGGCTACAATAATTGTAATAAAAAGGTTTAGTGTAAATATTTCTCATAAACATTTTGAAAATTTGAGTTTAAATCCGGTCTTAAGCATGCAACAATATTAAATCTCTTTGTCATCTAATGAAATTCTTCCCGACTCGAAGAATTAGTCCCAGTTGAACGTATAAAAACTTCAAGTAATTTTCTTTTGAATTCTTAAATTTTTCTAACTTCTAAATTTAAATGTTAATAATACTCTTAAACAAAAAAATAAATGTCATAATAGATTCAAATGAAATAAAAACTATAAACTAAAAATAAATATATTAAGTATTTGAACAATTAAACTTAACTATGTTATTTTGTATAAAAAAGATTGTTGATGAAAATAAAATTTATATAGTTAAAAATTAAAAAACATTTTTTAAATGTAAGTATAAAAAAAAAACTAAAATTAAAATTTACTAACTAATAATAAACAAATAAAATTATTGAATGTGCCATTTATTAATTAGTGGTTTTCTATTCTAGGATAAAAATCAAGTGGCAAAACAATTAAAATTGGCACAAAGCACTATGAAAATTTTACAACAATCGAAAATGTAATTGTTTATAGTACTACTAGTATATGCATACACTGATGCATCAGTTTTAATGACAGACATAATACTACTAGCAAGAATTATTATCATGATAGCTATACACATCAGGCTTTAGGCAAGAGCCTTTGTCGCCTTGCCTTATGACCGGGCCTGGTTTACAATTGACATGTAAGCTAGTTAGAAGCAAGATTTTCTTCACTCATAGAAATAGTGTCGACAGAAAAAAAAAATATATATATATATATATATATATATTAGTGATATCCAGGGGTGAAGATTTGTATTCTCAATACGGTAGGTGCGATAGCAAAGCAATCAAATGTCAAGTTAGTAGATTATAAGGACAACTTACATGAGTTGATCACAAATGAGTTTGAAACTAGGTTTGCTGATAACATTACATCTAATGATCTCAATGTTGCATACAAAATATGCATATGATTTAGGTCTTGAAGTTCTAGAGGAGGGGACAAGCATGATCTCATACATCCGAAAAGGTATCTATAAACCTGATCGAGACTGACCAGAAGGATCGTCAAGGTCTGTGAATTCTAAGTTGGGCAGGTGTTGAATGTGAAGTGGAATGTACCTGCAAGACACTCCAATGTCAAAGTAAGTTTCAAGGAGAGTGTAAGCAAGCGTAAGTAAGAATGAGAAATAAATATCTGATCCTCTCGAATGAGAGGGTGCTTATAGCCCCCAACATTGGGTCAAGGTCCACCCTGTTGGACCACGATGAGGCCCAATCAAGGAGGATTGTCAGGGCCTACTTGTGTATGGAGTCCAGTGAGTGGACTCCCCCTGGTCAACTGCTCCGTGTGAATAAGGGCGGGACCCTAGATTTCTGGAAGGCAGTTATGATGACATTGGTGGGAACGTGGGCCATGTTCCCCTACAGCGTGGGCCATGTCCCCCAACAGGTGTGGGGGAAGCTGCCCCCGGTCCTTAGCTAGGGTTGTTTGTCCTTATGCCTTATACAAGGGTGCTGGATTAGGCCTTATACAAGGGTGTTGGATTGAGCCTATCAACCGTAGGGTAAGTTCAGGCCCAGTCCAGATCAGGACTCCCCAAGTTATTATCCTTTGTTTGAAATGGAGGAGGGCTTGCTCGCATTCCTCGGTCCATTCAAAAGCTGCCTCTTCGCGCAGAAGTTTATAAAATGGAATAGCATGTTGCGTAGACTTCGCCACGAAACGGGAGAGTGAGGTGAGCACACCGTTCAAGACTTGTATGGATTTCTTTGAATTAGGTGTAGGGAGCTCGAAGAATGCTCGACACTTGTCAGGTTTGGCTTCAATTCCCCGCTCTGTTAGATTAAAACCGAGGAACTTGCTTGCCTTAACCCCGAAAGTACACTTCTCAGGGTTGAACCTCATTCTGCATTGTCTCGCTTGGGCAAAGACTTTTCTGAGGTGGGAAGCATGGTCGGTGTCTGCTCGAGATTTGACGATCATGTCATCCATGTATACCTCGAGCATATCCCCGATCTCTTCGTGAAAGACTTTGTTCATCATCCACTGGTACGTCGCCCCTGCGTTTTTCAGACCGAGGGGCATTACATTGTAGTAATAGTTGCCCGAGCTGGTCATGAAGGTAGTGTAATGTTTGTCTCTCATCGTCATTAGGATTTGGTTATAGCCCGAGTAGACTTCCATAAATGATAAATTTTTATAGCCAACCAAGTTATCGACCAACATATCAATGTTAGGTAAAGGAAAAGCGTCTTTGGGGCATACCCAGTTAAGATCGGTATAGTTAACACACATTCTCCATTTTCCATTTTTCTTAACAAGTACAACATTTGACAGCCAGGTTGAATACCGGGCTTCAGAAATAAAATTTGCCTCTAGGAGGTCTTTTACAACATTTTCTGCAGCCTATGCTTTTTTGAGAGAATGCCTACTCCTACGTTTTACTATTTCCCTAGAGGCTGGATCAATGGCCAGGTGGTGACAGGCGACCTCGGGGTCGAGTCCGGGCATCTCCGCGGCATTCCATGCGAACAAATCTACATTCTCCCTCAAGCAAGATTTGATCTACTTCCTCTCCAAGTCGGGGAGTCCGGTGCCGATCTTCACTCCTTTGTGAGGGTCTTCACCAAGGGGTACGAGCTCAAAGTATCCATCCGGGATTGGTCGGAGGAGTCCCTACTCGTTTTTGGGTGCTTCATCCTGGTCAAAGCGAGTGTCCAGCGAGATGGAGTCCACCTTGGAAAGAGCTCTTTGTTCTTCCGTCTTTGACGGGCAATGGCTCTGGTTATGCAGTAGCAGCTCTCTTCGCGGGTCGCGTTCCATTATCGACCGTACTCTATCCCTTTGACGCTGCATTGAAACATCTCTGGGCTGCTGCGATATCACCGTGGATGGTGGTGACCCATCATTTCTTCGTGTAGAACTTCATCTTCATGTGGACGGTTGAAGGGACGACGGTCATCTCAGCCAAAGTTGGTCTCCCTAGGATGCAGTTGTAGAGAGATGGGAAGT